TGAAATGGCCCTGAAATTGCATGTCTCTCATGAAACAATACGTAAACATCTAAGGAATATGGGAAAACTCCATAAAGAAGGTACTCATGTGCCTCGCGAACTCTCCGATGATCATCGTTTCCAACTTGTGAACGTTGCTTGTCTTTTTTTGGCGCGTAATGCGTGTTAACCATTTTTGGACAGAATTATCAACGGTGATGAAAATAGATTCTCTATGCGAATATTAAACGTCAAAAACAATGGCTCAGTTCCGACCCAAAAACCTGGACTCCATCCGCACAGAGTGATGCTTTGCATTTGGTGGGACATCAAATGAGTAATTTATTTCGAACTCCTGAATCTACAGCAAACTGTCAATGCAGAGATAGATCTATAGTCATTAACTGAAACGTTTAAATCAAGCCCTTCATCAGAAATGCCCTACACTCGTCAATCGGAAAGGTGTTCTTCTTCTCCACAACAATGCACGTCCACATGTGTCACGTTTTATGTAAAGCAAGATTATGGAGTTGGGTTGGGAAGCTCTCCTACCCACCCATTTCTCCAGATATGGAACCATCAGAATACCATCTTTTTCGTTTGCTGCAACACCATATCAGTGGGAAAGCGTATGCAAATGTGTAAGGGGTTAAAGAGGACATCGACATGTTTATTTTCTTCAAAATCAAGTGATTTCTTGATTAATAACCTGATTATAAGATATAAAAGCATGATCGATAAGAATGGAGACTATTTCATTTAATAAATGTTTTGTTTGATATATAAGTTGGTCGGGTTTTTTCATCTAATAAAAAGCGACATTAAGTTCTTGACAACTTAATAATATACTTAGGTTATAAGATAACGTTATGATTTTTTTTTCAAGATGTCATCCAAATGGACAGTGAACGACCATATTATGGAATTGGCATGATTGTTTCTGCTGGCTTTTTCTTAGCCGTCGTTGGAGTATTCGTCCAGTTGGCCAAAGACAGGATATTGATGGACGTTATGGGCTTATCTCAAGTAGTCCGAATAGTTATTATTTTACCTATGAGCGAAGAACGATTCTGTTAACCTCTCTTCGTTGTCTTACTGGAGCGTTAGGAGATACTTTTCTCTATTATTCCTACACTCTTCTTCCTGTTGGCGACGCAACTTCCATTTATTCTACAAATTCAGTTTTTGCTAATGTCTTTTCCGTTTTCATATTCAAACGTTCGTGTAAGTGGGCGAATTTTGTTTCCAGCTTCCTTTGTATTTTTGGAGTGGCTATTATTTCTCAACCAAGTTTTTTATTTGCATCAGACAAACACCTTTCCTTGAATTACAGAGGAATCTGGATTCGTTGTGTTACAACTTTAATAACCTTTTAGTTAAGGTTAATCATCTTTTCCTTACAACAATTCTAACCATAAATATGAATGTCGTGTGGGTTATGAGTTTAATAAGCGATAAACGTCTTTTTGTGCTAGGGTTTGCTGATTGTTCCTGGACCACTCTGTACATCACTGCAATAGGATTGGCTGGTTTGTTGACTCTTCTAGCTACCACACGAGGATTTCAACTAGTTGAAGCTGGTCCAGGTAGTGTAGCTCTTTCTTCTATCATTGTATTTGGTTATATCCTTCAACTCTTTACTCAGGACTATTCCATTCGAGTCGTAAGTATTATTGGGGCTGTACTAATTATCGTGGCTATTTTTATTTCACCTCCTAGTTCAGTGCACGATAAGAGTAGTATGTTCGAGAATGTGACTGAAGACATGAGCCAATCAGTAAACTATAAGGAAAACACGAAAAATGACATGTTTCAAGAAGCAACTGATTCGTGTGAGCTATAGTCATTAATTGAAAAGGACTAACAACTACCATATGAAAAACATCTATGAGAATCAAGTTCTGGAGTTTAATAACTTATTTTTATTTATTTTCCAATATTGATTATGATATTGTTTCTATAAATTGTCGAGGTCAACTTATGATCGAGTACATATTGCTTTATTCTCTATGGTATTAAAAACCAACACTGTTTTCTATGTGGAAAACATATTCTTTAAACTAGTATTGTAAATGGTGTCTCTAGTAATTGTTGTTAATGGAGTTAACGTTAGATACTTTATGTGTTGTTTACCTTTGAACTTTAGAAATTTTAAAACATCAAATATTTTATGTTATATTTCTCTGTTAATCAACGAAATATTTTCATTGT